CAGGGCATTTGCACGTCCTGTGCCTGGAATGCTCTCCCTCTAGATCTGCCCTGGGCTCACTCTTCCCCACCTCTGCTGGTTTTGATTTAAATATTACGCCTTCCTTGTTCACTTGCTTTAAAATTCTGACCTTTCCCAATCTCTGTAACTGCCTATTCCCCTTCTCCGTTTTATTTTTCTCCACATGCATTTCATTTGCCTTGATATTTCATTTAAACATAAAAGGCTTGGGGGGGGGGTGAGGGGAAGGATTTTGTCTATTTTGTCTATTGATGAGCCCCCATCGGCCCCACCAAGGCCTACCTGGTAGGATAAAGCTCAGGGTTTGGAGGAATTGTTGGGGTCTGCTGTCCTGCACCCCTGGGCTAACTCCAGCCCGACACCTGGAGGGACCGGTTAATTAAAGATGCATCTTAATTTCTCCCTCTGTGCTCTCTGCCGCTCTTCTTTCATGTCTACCTCCCCCTCCTTGTTCATATCCATTTTCTTTCTTTTTCCCACTCCTTCCTGCTTTTTCGGTACTTGATGGAATCACATTAAACTAATAAACCTTTCATTACTTGATTGTGGCCGTAATCACGCACACTGAGAGCCAGGCTTGTTTTGATTTTCTGTGGACTTTGGGTCGCTGAGCTTTTGAACACTTGTTTTTATTCCTCGGTTGCCACTTGACCCCCCCCCGACACACACCCGTTTTTAAAAAAGGATGAAAAGCTTTAGAAAAACATCAGAAATATCCTTTTAGTTTATTCCCTCCGCAATTGATTTGGAGGGTTTTGTTTTGATTTTCCTCTTGGTAATGGTGGGTGTTAAAAAGGGATCACGCGTTTCTAAACTGGCCACCAGGTCACAGCTTCTGAGACGGCAGGGAGATGGCTTCTGTGGACCCGGGGGCTCGGAAGATGCCCCTCTGGAGGCCAAGTTTGGCGTGATCCCACGAGGTGCCGGTTGGAGCTGGAGGAAGCTGGGCAAGATCGGGGCTTCTCGAACTCGGCGCCGTGGACTTTGGGGCTGGAGGATTCTTGCGGGGGGCGGGGGGCTGTCCTGGGTGCTGCGTGGGGCTTGGTGGCGTCTTTGGTCCCTATTACTTAGTCCCCTGGAGGAAGAGCTGTGTCAAGAGGAGGCCACCCCACCCAGAGTCTCTCCTCCTTTGTGACAATTGAAACACTCTCTGTCCAAAGGTGGGAACAACCCAAATGTCCATCAGCGGAAGAAGGAATGATGTGGTCTGTCCGTCCAGGGACGTGATTCAGGCACGAAATCAGCGAGGTGGGGACCCACCCTGAGAACCCCCTGCCAGGGAACACCACCACCCCCCCCCAAGAGCAAGGCCTCAGGCCATAGGATTCCATTTATGCAAAATGTCTAGGACAGGTAAATCCACAGAGACGCAGGCAGAGGGCTGGAGGGTGACAGCAGGGGGGGCGGGGAGGGAGAGCTGGGGTGGCTGCTAGTGGCTGTCAGAGGCTCTTCTTGGAGGGATGAAAACATTCTGGAACCACATCCTGCTGATGGTTGTACCGCGTTAGGAACAGACCTTGTGTCCCTGGAGTGTCCCCTTTAAAACGGTTATGATGCTACACTTCATGGTCTGCGTGTTGTACATGGCAACATATAATAATTCTGATATTATTCGTGTGACCTGCGCTCGCTGGGTGTAGGGCAGCTCTTCTCGCCCATCAGAGCCCTCAACGTGAGAGGTGGGGTCCTCTCCCCCCCCCCCAGCCCTCCATCCCCTTACTCCACCCCTGGACTAAGGATCACCGATTTGCATGAATCAGATTCGAAATCATTAGCCGTGGAACTCTCTCTTTGGGATGGATGTTTGAAGGGAATGATTTCAGTTGCCCCTTACAAGGAGGGAGTGGCGTCAGTAGCTACCGTTTCTTCTCACCAGTGTGTAGAGGGGTCGGCAGGGATGGCCATTTCTGTTCTGTGTGGTGTTGGCTGGGAGCTTGCCTGGGGCTGGGGTGTCCCAGGGGACTTTTCTTACCTACTGTTACCGGGCAGCAGCCAGTCCTGGCTCCTGGCTGGGGACCTCGGTTCCCAAGGCACCTCTCCCTCCAGCAGGCCAGACGGGCTCTGTGGCAACATGGTGGCCTGGTTCACCTCAGTGGTGTGTCCAGAACACGTGTCCAGGTAACGGGGCTCAGAGGTGGCTCTCAGAATTAGACCCTCTCCCTCCCGCTCTGTGTCTACCTAGCTCCCTCCGCCCTGAGAAAGGAGTGATTTCTCTGTGTCAGACTTTCTTCGTTAATTTGTTTTACTCAACAAGTGTCTGTTGAGGACCAACTTGGGTCAGGCGGTATCTAAACCCAGGGGAGGCAACCCCGGGCAGGCTCTAGGGGGCTCCATAAGAATTTTCCTGTACTCAAGATTTTCTATTTTTTTTTGTTTTGTTTTGTTTCAAGCATGACATGCTTTTAAAGTCTAAAAACACAAAATAAAGCTTTGGAAAATAACATTAGAGGAAATTCAGGAAAAAAGAATCAGGGGGTCCATGAGGAAGACTGTTGGGATTATCTGGCTGGGAAATGACATGAACTTGAACCAGCTGGGACCACATCTCAGAGGGCAGGGGGATGAAATAAACAGAAAGACCTCAAGTCTGCTTCTGGCCATGGTAGGCGGCCCGGCCCTGTTGACCTGTGTAGGTTGCTATGGCCACCTTCCACATGACCATGCTGTCATGCCCACAGGGACCTAGTATGATCTGGGCCACGATTCCAATAGTCCCCAATCCTCCAGGGGCAGTGTTACCTGAATGCATTACCTCCTCATTGTGTCAAGACGTGATTTCTATTTGACAAAAATCGTGCACATTTATGGTGTACAGCATGAGGTTCTGGAATAGGTACACACTGTGCAATGGCCACGTTGAGCTGATTAACACACGCATTACCTCATGGATTTGGTCTTTTTCTTTTCTTTTCTTTTGGTGGTGAGAACACTCCAAATCTATCATCTTTGGTTTCTGAAGCCTGCAATACGTGGCGGTGGACTCTAGCCTCCGTGTGTCTAACTGACATTTTCATCTCCATGTCGGTCAAAGGGTAGATGATTAGGTTCACACGAGACACTCTGTGGAGAAAAATAATTCAGACGAGAGATCGTCCTGGATAAACCAGCACATCAGGGGATGAGCGCTGGATTAAGAAGGTGGCGTCCTTACGTGGGTCTAGAAGATTCTTTCAGAGGCTCCATATTGTCCTTAAAACTTTGAAGTGACAGCTGTCATAACCTTGGGTTCATCTTCTCTATTCTTCAGAACACAGGCACGTGTGCACACACACACACACACACACACACACACACACGCACAAACACACAAATAACCAGGAAAACAAGGGAGATGATACAGAGGTGATTGTGGAGAACCAAGAGAAACAACTCTTAAAGTCGATGATGAACATTTTTCAGAAACAGCCTTGCAATTGAAGAGGCTCCTCCCTTCTGAGGGAAAAACGTGTCAGATGGTGAAAACTCTGGAAAAGAGTCTTTGAGACGGTCACCTTCCAAATCCCTCAGGCAGACAGAGGAGGAGACGGGGGCTCCCGAGGGCATGAGGCTGGCCCAGGGACATGTGGGACGTGAGCTGCCGAGTTGGGACCACAGCTCATGTTTGTTTGCCGTGTTTGTCTGACTTCTTGGCCAGGACCCTTGTTCCAGAGCCAGAGAGCTCCAAATGGCTTCACCGGCTGTGGAGGTGGCAAACGTGGCCGCGGCTGGGTCCCAGGTGGCCCTCAAAGCGGTGGTTTTGACCTGGTGGTGCCCACGAGACGGTTGTCTTCATTTGGGAAGATTCGTCAAGCCTGCCTGGCAACATTTGGGAGGAGCTGAGACATGGTCCCTGTTAGATAGGACAGGAACTCTCCAGCGACCGTGGACACGCCAGCCCTTTCCTGGAGACAACCGCCAGGCACCCGAATGTGCGGCCTTTGGTTCACAGGGACACCAAAGTGGCAAGTCCTGTCCCCAGACCGTCCAACCCAATGATGCTGATTCAGAGGCAGAAAGCGCAATTCCTGGCCTGGTGCCACCCTACCACAAACTGCCCGAGCTACCGTGGGTTAGGATCCCCATTCGGAGGGGCTGAGGTTTTGCATTTTAACCAGCACCTTTGACTCTCGTGCGTCCAAGGCAAAGCTGAGAATCACACTGTGCCAGTCTCTGTGTGCTTGTTAGTTCTCTCGCTGTCACGCCCCACCCTGTGTCCCCATAGACATATGACTTAGTGAAGGGTAAATGCTCAGATTCTCAAGCCATCCTTCGCAGGTGGGGCCACCTTGGCTGGTCGTTCCTCCTTCGGGGACTCGGTATCTCTGCACGATGGCACAGGGATGTGGGTTGGTCCCTGGTTGCTCCTTCCAACTCCAGAGCCCACTCACCCTTCTCCCTCTGCTCCTGGTCTGGGGGTCTGAATGCATGCACTGCACCCCTGGGCTGCTGTTCCCATGGGGCCTGGGCCCCCTGGTGGGAGGTTTGAGGGCAGGGAGAAGACGGGGAGAGAGTATCTCCCCAGCTCCCTCCAGCCAGATGTAATTAGGGGACATGCCGGTGTTCCTCCCCGGCCACATCTTCTGGGTGGTTCCCCTCCACGGTCAGGTCCTCTCTGGCTCCAGGAACGCTCTTCTCCTGCATTGGCCAGGGGTGGAGATGGCTCCCCATTATGGCTGGCTCCAGCAATTTTAGTGTGTCCTGTGCTCGTTCCTTGAACCCTGTCCATATTGGTATGAAAACTTCCTTTACTAAACCCTCCTCAATTAAACCCGGGGAGTGGTCAGTGACTTCCTGAGGGAACCTGGGCAGATGATATTATCCTTGAGATTTCGGGGAGGTCATAACACATGACCTGGCACCTAGCATTTGTGCTCTGAACACCTGAGCGGTCATCATCAATGCTATTTTCCTTTTTTCTTTTCTTGATAGAAGTAGAATCACAGGCTCTTATCATGGAAAAGAACCACAGAGGTCTGTTCCAATCGGACGCAGCTCTTATCTCACTGGGAAGCTTTGGGAGTTCTCCTAGGAGAATCAGCAAATCTGGGCTAGGGTATCGAGCGCCTCGCTGTTCACAGCAGAGGGGCCCCCAAGGCAGGAGTCTCCGGATACAGGATTAAGACCGTGGAATCGGAGCCACAGACGCACACCCCTCCCAGGGTCCTTGCACAGTCCAGGAGGAAGAGGATGGTCCCCACTGCTGTCCGCAAGTAGCATCCCCAAAGCTGGAAAAGCATCGGGAGGTCCCCGGGATCCACTATGCTAACCTTCCCCCAATTCCCAGCACCGATCCGTCGGAGACCCAGATGGCTTGGGTGGTCAAACTACCTGGCAGAACCAGCCACAGAGGTGAGAAGGATGTGCTGGGGACTTCTCTTGGGGACCAGGAGATAGTTTGAGAGACTCTATGGGGTCCTTACAGATTTTTTTTTTTTAACTGATACCTTTGTGGCTCTCTCAGGAGATCTGTGCTGCAGATGCCGAGCCCAGAGGGGGGAAATAAATAAATAAAGGCCGCCGCCTCGGCTCAGCTGGCAGCTCTGTGGCCCCAGGTGCAGGGGTCCAGCGCCTCATCTTGCCTCTGGACCGCAATCAATGCAGCAGGCAGGAAATGAGAGGAAATTAATTTTTCCCCCCTCTTCTCTTTCCCTCCCCAGCCCTCCCTTCTGTTTTTACACAAGGGCCTTTTAAAATGTTGGTTCCTCTCTGATTATAGTGCAATAGAGGTTCCAAACAGCCTCTTTTGGACGAAGCTCCCTCTGCCCTTAACCAGAATGATTGGTTGGTTGCCTTGGTAATCGAACTCATTCGCTGTGTGGAAGCCACAATTATGAAGGTTTTCTGGGTACCAATCCCCCCTTAGTGCCTTTTTCTTAGAAGTTCACGACAAGATGGGACAAAGGAGACCTAATAGATTTTATTGCTCCGGCTTCTTTCAGTACGCAGGAGCCCACGGCCTGCGGACAGGAGCTGTGAGTGCCATTTAAATTGGTTGGCTGTGCCCGGGGAGAGTGCTTTACGCTCAAGAGTGGCTGAGGTTCTATTAGCTGGAGGGCCAGGGCCAGAGGATGAACCCACGGGCCGGGCTCCTCTACCTCAGCTCATAATGGAAACCCGAGATGGGCCCAGCCCAGGTGGCATCTGGGGCCGAGGGCCCCGGGCACTTAACCTTTCGCTGATAACCGAAGGAAATGGACATGTAACTGCTCTCTTGAAACTCCTGCCTGATTCAGGTTCAAGGCAGGGGAGGTTGTGGGTTGTTGAAATACCCAAGCTGGAAACGGTGTGGGCAGAGGCGGCCCTCCACCTCTAAAGAGGAACAGGCCTCCATTAGCTGGGGTAATTGCAAAGAATGAGGCGGGAGGAGAAGATGATGCTGATAATCATGGTCACAATAGCCACATAATTCATCTGTAGAGGGTACAAGATGCTCTCGGTCATTACCTCAGCCCGTTCCCACGGGAGCCTGGGGGTGGCCCGTCTTTTCCGGTGGATGGGGAAACTGAGGAATGGGGAGGCAGGCGATCTTGTCCAGGAGGGAAAGCGTCAGAGGTCAGAGACGTCTCACTACTGAACGGCGTCGAGCACGGAGTACGACCTTCCCTAAGATCAAATCAGGTCTAAGTAGGGATGAGCTTGGGGGGTCCAACAGCTTCTCACCCACAGCTCTTTCACTCCGATAGGGAGTGGTTAGTGTGTGGAGAAGGATTCTGAGGCTGCACTTGGGGTGACCAAGGGAGGCCGCCATCGTGGTCAGTGCTGTCTGTCAGTCATGAGACCGTGATGGGGAAAACCCATTGCGCACAGTGTGGCTCCGGTTTGATCTCAGAGTTTTGGAAAATCATTTTGTTTGGGAATAATTTCAAGCAAGGAAATTTCAAAAATAAGAACAGGACAAAGAACAGCCCAGGGCTTTCCTCGGGTCTGCCTCCTGGTAATAATCGACTTGGGTCAGGTTCCCCTTTTCTCTCTCATAGGTGCTTACATAACTTTGGGGAAAACTGTTTGAGGGTCAGGGTCACACACACACATCATGGCCCTTTGCCGTTGCATATCTCAGTGTTTGTCTCCAAAGACTACGGACAGCTCCCAGGTGACCGCATCACCATGGCCAGCTTCGGAGCATTGAATGTGGGTGCCCCCTTTTCCCTTGTCCTCTACCCTGTAGTCAGTGTCCTTCTCAGAATTCCCCCAGAGCCAGTCCCCAGTATGGTGTTTAGCTGTCACATCTTTTCAGTTTCCTTTCTGATAACTGGCATCTTTGACATTTCCATACTTTTGAAGTGTCCTGGTAGAGAGATTTAGAATATCCATTTACCAATTCCATACTCTTAAGAACCTCATGCTTATGCAGTGCTAGGTGCTGAGCTTCTTGCAAAGACGAGTTTGACTATTCTTCTCCTAACAGCAAGAGCATCAGGACAATGGATGCCGCGGGTCCCTGAGTACTTGCGGGGTCAAGGGCTTTACCAAGCCCTTCACGAGAGGCTGATTGTTCTCAGTTGGAGATGGGGAAAATACACTGAGGCTCAGGCATGTTAATGTCAGCTTGCCCAGGGTCACGTAGGTGGCAAAGAGCCCCAAGATGTGATCTCAGGTGTCCTGGCTCTAGAGACCACACTTTTAACCACTGCATGGTCCTGTGTTGGGGAAGTAAATTCAACAGATTGGTAGAGATGAGAAAAACATTCATTGATTCATTCATTCATTCATTGTTCACTGATTAAGTTACACATTCTTTATTCACTCATTCATTGACTATTGACCCATCCATCATCCATCCATCTATCCATCTGTTCATCCACTATCCAATCTTCCATCCAACCCTCCATCCATTCAGTGATCCATCCATCCGTCCAACCCACTCCATCCTTCCTGCTGCAGTCTGGCTGCAGCAAACTAACTGGGGGGTGATGAGGAACTTGTGAAGGTTGATACAGCAGGAGTGGGAGCCGTTTATTGTAGGACAGGAGGGGTATATATACATAACTGAATACACAGCTTAACTTAATTAACATAAACTAGATACAGCAGTCAACCAATAAGGAATCCTCCGCATAATGATTACACACAGTTTAACTTAATTGACATAATCTAGACACAGCAGTCAGTCATTAAGGAATCTATCATCTTAATGGCTCGCTGGCCATTACTTCTCAAACCACTCCCTCTGGCAAAACGCCAGGCGCCATCTTGACTTGTTTACGGACCCTGACACCTTCCGTTTTTCCACGTCTCTAGAGTGAAAGACACTGTGCCTGTCTCTGTGGCTCCATTGGCAAAACAGGACAGATGAAGTTCTTGGTCCTCATGAAGATGACCGACCAAAGGGAGGAAGGAGATGGATAATGAATAAAGTATCATCTGTCTTCGAGAGTAAAATATGGGGAGTGGGAAAGTCAAGCCCTGTCCAGAGGGTCAGAGAAGGTCCCCGTGTCAAAGCAGCATCTAAACAAAGTCCCAGAGTCTGCGAGGGAGTTAACTGAAAGAGGAAGCGTTTGACTGTGCAGGAGAAAGCAAATGTGCTTCCTGGAGAGGTGGTCCAGGGCTGGGTGTAAGGCATGGGAGGGACGTGGAGCTTCAATGTGGGGGAAGCACTGGGCGGGGGGATAGTACAGGCAAAGCAGGCCACGTGTGGGAATGCATTCGGGAGGTCTCTTGTGATGGCGTCTCCTAGTTGCCAGACTCCCAGGGGCTGTCCGTGTCTCCAGGACTGTTGATGGAGGAGCTGTGAGCTCAATTCACAGCCTTCCTCAGTGCGATCACATACATCGGGCGTCTGGATCTTTCATTTCTGTGACTCAGTCTCCTACAGGGGCACCATTTGGGGTAGAGAGCCCATCCAGCAAATTTAATTGGTGATCTCAATCGCCAATTTCTTTGTGATTTTAATGGAACTTTATTCGGAATTGGCAAAGAGTACTCTGGAGTTTGAGTGCAATTGTCCAGATGGTGGAATCTTTGCTCTTGGCACGCAGGTGACCTAGAGTCTTCTCTGGGGAGACTGGCCCCTGTTCTAAGGCTCCGTCTCTGCATCCTTCAGATGAACGGGCCCAGTTACACGGCAGCCCTCAGAGTCTTAGCTTCCATGAACCAGAAGGGCAGAGGCACCCCGAGAGCTGGGTGGCTGCGTGGGGTGAACCTGGACCTTGGTGGTGGCTGCCTGTTTTGCCAGGGGCTCCAGAGGCGGCTCCTGCCGGCTCGCCCTCTGGCCTGATCGGAATCCTCTTCAGTCGCCTTGGTTTTCTGCACTTTGACTTACAACATAAATTATTCTTCCTCTAAGTGGCAGGCGTAGGGAAGCTACCAAAAGGTCACTTGGAACCCCAATCAATCCCGGTGGCTTTGATGGCTTTATGCTCTTCAGGCTCCCGTGCGTGTCTGCCGCGCCAGCTCTGAGAAGGGGCTTGGGGACGCTTTCTGCAAAGGTGATTGAATTTCCTTTGGGGAGAGTTAACTGCTTGGTTTGCCTCGGGGGTCCGGGAAGGGGAAGGGCAAGTTCTGGACTCTAACTAAAGATGGTTTCCATCTATTTAGGAACAGAGGCCAAGTTCTGCCTTTCCCTTCTGCAGACCTGTGTCTCGGAGCTGCCCCAGTGGCTCTGGCTGTGGGCTCCCACTCACGTCCTGGACTCCGGGCCCCTGGCCTCCCTGGTCCCTCAGAGCAGGTTTATCCTCAGCCCCATTTTGCAGGGGAGGAAACTGTGGCTGGGAGCCGAGTACCTCAGCCCCAGGCCCCAACACGTCAGGTCAGGGCAGAATGGGGCTGGACTTAGTGCTCCTTGTGACTTCTCAGCTCCCAGCTGACTTGGCAGGCCACTCTGGGCCTCAGTGAGAGCCAGGGCAGGAGTGCGAGAGGCCCGCGGCTGGTGTCTCAGACTTAAATGTTACAACAGAAATCAGCATGCCTTTGAATAAAGTGAGTCCTGGGTTCCAATCCTGACACACGTCTCATAGCAACAAAGTACATGCATTATGTGGGTAAAAGATTATATTATTATATGATATTATAATACCGTTATATAATTATGGTATTATAATTAGAATATTTTGTAATGTAATATATGAATATAATATATAAAACATTTTCCATAATAAATATATTTTACATTATATATATATTTTTCATGTACATTTATTATATAAATAATATATGAATTAATGTAAATATAATATATAATATATAATAAACTGTACAGTGCATTATGTTTATATAGAATATAAAAATTCATATTTATAATATGTGAACATATGTTTACAATATATTTATCATGTATATATACATGATATATATTTATATACATGATAAATATGTACTTACTATATATTTATAATATATAATCATAACTGAAGTTTAGCAAAATATATCAAAGATGACAGTTTAATCATTATTGCATGACACGACATGCAGCTTGTGGGCTGGCGATATTAGGGTGAACAATAAAGTGAAGACATAATTCTCAGACAGCTGTATATTCCAAATTAAGACTCTATTTTCTTGCTTTCATCTCAGTATCGTGACTAATTATAATCAATATTTTCAGAAAATTGTGATGTACTGACAACAATACTAAATTAGGGAAACTTAAAGCATGGTATTTTTAGGTAGTTTTTTTTTTCTGAAATTAATCTGTTTTCCCATTTTTATTTGTCTTATTGTCTCTATAACCTACATGCAATAAAGTGTATATGATCCAACTGTCACAGTGGGCTGTGACAGATTTATGTGCTCAGGTAATGACCATCTCAAGGAAGACCTTCAGAGTTTTAAAGATATGCACTTCTACTTGGAAACACTGAGTTCTGCTGAGGCAATCGTTACTGGAATTGTCAATAAACCTTTACAAGTAATTCTATTTGAGAAAAAAAATTATGGATTTTAAATTTCACATTCAAACATATAACGTTGCCACTTGTGACACATCGTTCATATGGCAGAAAATGTTATGTTTATTTTACTCTGTGCGTCTCCCCAGGCCTCTTCCTGGTCCTGAGCAGACTGTGGGCTGTGTGTGGCCAGAGGCTTTCTGTTTTATTGACCACAAGGTGTCCGATCCCTGGAATCGTGCCTGGTGCTAAGTAGATGTTCAATAAACTCTCGCTCAGGAGTAAGCGGAAGTTGGGCTCCCGGTTGTTCTGAGCTCTGTGAGGTTCTGCCTAATCTCAAACGGGACACCTTCATTTTATGAAAAGTATTTGTAAACAAAGTTTGGTCTGCTGTCGGAGAGACAACACGGCACCTGACGCCATGACCCATGTACTCGTCTGTATCTCGGAATGCCAATGCGCGCCTCTGCCCAGGGAGGTTCACGGTGGGCCCCTGGGCTTGCTGATGGTTTCCCGCTCATGGTCCGTCAGGTCTGCCCCGTCAGAGGGCTGTGGAGAGCAGCTGTTCCTTCTTGATGTGCTGAGGGCAGAAGCTCTGCTGCAGGGGGTGATTGACGGCCCAGGGCCGGTGGGCCTTCTCTAAGATGGTCCCTGGGCCCCCCTCCTGTGCTCTCACTCTGTGCAACCCCCTTTTCTTTGCATGTGGGCAGAACCCGGACCTTCTTCTAACCCATGGGACATGGAGAAGGTGGTGGCCGTCACTTCCCTCTCTGCCGTCTTGCCAGCAGACTTGAGTGTTGATACGGTAAGTCACCATGTTGGGGAGGCCCACGAGACCAGGAACTGGAGGTGGCTTCTGGCCACCAGCCAGCTGGGAGCTGAGGTCCCCTGCCCAATAGCCCCAAAGACTGGATCTTGTCAAGGCGACCCAAAGCAAAGCCTCCTCTTGCTGAACTTTCAGGTGAGACCCACCCCTGGCCGGGAACCTGTAGGTTGACAAGAGACTCTCAGAGAGCACCTGGGTCAACGTGCCTGCGTGGACTCCTGGCGCACAAGCCCGTGAGACGGATGCGACAGTCCTTCCCGGACTTGAGCCAATTGGAACTTCTCCTTCTCCAACAACCCGGTGAGCTTGGTGCCGCCCGCGGGCTTGCTCTGCCCTGGGTTGGAAGCCTTGACCTTCATCTGTCAGAGGCCACGTGCCCGTCCCTCAGAACACAGCTCACGGTGCATCCCGTGAGGGCCTCCGTCCAACTCACTGTCCCCGTTATTGGCATGCGTCCTCCACTAAACCATTTTACACTGTATGAAGTGATCTCTGCCCGTGTTTGTCTTTTGGATCAACTGCTTAGCTCATGGGGGGCCGGCAGTGTTAGGGTGTAGATGGGAGGTGTCCCCAGAAGCTGTGAGACAAGGGTGAGACAAGGTGAGAACGTTCAGAGGTGAAATGATGGGGGTATGGGAGCCTTAACCAGATGGGTGCACTAGTTTCCTGATAGGGATTAACAGGGTGGTGACGGTAGGCAGGTGGGTGTGGCTGGAGGAGGTGGGTCCCTGGGGACATGCCTTTGGGGTTTATATTTTGTCCTTGGTGGACAGAGCTCTCTCTGCTTCCTGGGGACCCTATCCTGAGCTGCTTTTCTTTGTCACACCCTCTGCCATGATGTTCTGTCTCCACTTGGGCCTCATCAATGGGCTGAAACCTCTGAAACCATGATCCCAAAGACATTTTTCCGCCTCTAATTGTTCTCCTCAGGTCTTTTTGTTACAGTAAAGAAAAAGCTAAGTAAAATAGGCAGCAGGTGGGGGTGTGTGTGTCTTGCTCATCCAGACCCCTGGGTGTCGTTAATCCAAGCTTGTTGAACAAATGCTATTCTATAGAGAAACCAGAACCCAGCAGTGATGAGTTCAGATGCCAGAGCCAGGCTGGCTAAGTTTTAAAATCTTAATCTCTGCCATTGACTAAGCTGTGCAATTTAGGCAATTAACGCAGCCTCTCTGAGCCTTACTACTCACCCAATCTTTGATGAGGATTGAACCATGCAATGAATATAAAATACCCAGACAGTGCTCGAAGCATCGTCAGTATTCAACTGTTCGCTGCTACATATTGTTGCTGTTCTGCGGTTATGTGGAAAAGCAGTGTTCTAGAGACACGGCAAACCCAGTATTCATAGCTCTTATTTAAGGGAATGCTTCCAACCCGTGTTTCAGTTTCCTTATCTAGAAACCAAGGGTGGTTTCTCCAAAGACACCAGCTAACCAGTTTCTCTGTTTGTATTTTCCATCAGCTGTAAAAGCCGTGACTCACCCCTAAGTCACCACGGTATTCCTCCCAGTCTGACCAGTTCAGCCTGTTGGGCACCCTGTCCCATGAAGTGTGTTGGGAAAAATAAACAGAACACACTGTGCCCTTCTTCCCCTCCCCCAGGCCTCACGGAGCTCCTGGTCTTGACACCTTTATCATTCCCTGAGGTCGGAGGTCGGCCGCTTCCTCCCATGGCTGTGGGACTCGGAGGGACCTGGGTTCAAATCCCAGCCCCACCACGTCCCCACCTGGATATCATGAGTGGTCTGCCCTGCACCTGTGACAGGGATCCGGGTAGGTGGGCGTGTCTCTGTGTCCCTCTTGTCACACGAGATCACACACATGGAAAGTCACGGGCAAAGTCCGCACATTAAAGTGGGTTAAAAGGTCTCTGGGCCTGACGTCGGCCAGTCGTCCTACTTGGTTGGAGGAAGATCCCTCTGATTCCCTTTCCTTCATCGCCTCTGGTTCCCCAAAGCAGTTTTTTTCCCAAGAAACGTTTCCTCAAGGTCAAAGTGATTCAGGCAAGGCTCCAACCGAACCCAAAGGTCACTGGCCATCTGTGGCTGGTGAGAAAGGGCAGTCCCTGGCGAGGCTGGCCGGTGACAGCTGTGTCACCTTCTTCTCTAGGACGAAGCCTGTTGCAGGTGCATCTAGAAAGCTCCTTGGGTCCCCACATGCCAACCATCAGAGGCCCAGCCTCCGCCTTCTTGGGTCCTTGATTCTTGACCTTTGAAATGCCCTGGAGCCGGCCTGGCTGCCCTGGGCTCTGCTGATAGAGCAGGGGCTGGGACCGCTCTGACCCCAGAGTCCTTCTCAGTGCTCTGTGCATCTGCCCCAGTGACCACGCAGAGTCCTGAAGTCGCGAGGGGACAGCGAGTTCTCCCCTGGATGATGGAGGCTGCTAGAAAAGGGTGTTGAGAATGTCATTGTTGGATGTGGGAGAGCTGGGGGTCCTCCCTGGTGGGGGGAGAGAGCCCCTTGGTGCTCAGCTTACCTACCACAAAAGTGACTGGCGACCCTGCATCTGGGAGGACACTGTCCCCTGCCTGGGGGACCAGACCTTGGGAGGAGCTATCAAATCTCTTTGTGTGTGTGTTTTTTTTCCTACATAATTTAATTCTTTTAAAATTTTTATTTATTTATTTTTTACACGAGTTCTGTTATTATTATTTGCATTACAATTCTTAATACACCTGCATGCCACAACTTATCATATCTCTGTATATGAGATGACACCAAATTCACATCTTCGTACATGGATTTTGTAGAATGATGAGGGCCTCTTTCCACCATCCATGCAATTCCCCCTTCTCCCTCCTTTTCCCTCCCACCCCTCTTCCCTATCTAGAGGTAATCTTCCTCCCATGCTCTTCCTCCTTACCGAATTTTGAGTCACCCCCCCCCCCTTATATCAGAGAAGAGGATGTGGGGAAAAAGGCACACCCATCCACTGCTGGTGGGACTGCAAATTGGTGCAAACAATTTGGAAAGCAAATTCTTGTTAAGCTGGGAATGGAACCACCATTTGACCTAGCCAAAACAGGATACTATAGGGACACAGCCACATCAACGTTTATAGCAGCACAATTCACAATAGCTAAACTGTGCTTTAATGGATGAATGGATTAAAAATGTGGCATATAGACACAATGAAATATTACTCAGCACTAAAAAATAATAAGATCACGGCATTTGCAGGGAAATGGATGGCTTTAGAGCAGATTATGCTAAGTTAGCCAATCCCCAAAATCAAATGCCCAATGTCTTTGTGTGCTTTTATAGAGCGCTGACTGCAGCCCACTGTGTCCAGGATGGGCTCAGTAAATGCTTGGTGGACCTGAGTACTCATGCGTGGGGTTTTTTATTAAAGCTGGGTGTGGAGGAGGGCATTCAGAAAACACACCCATCACCAGAGAGCCCAGGTGAGTTGGTTTCTGTTTGAAACTAACTTGAATGCGCAGCAGTCAGGGGCTAAGATTCTGTTTTGCAGACGACGGACGGCTGGGGTTGTGTAAGTGTGTGTCACACCCAATGACAAGGACCCAGGAATCTGGGGTCGAGATCTAATGGATTTGGCTCTCAGAGTCCTGGGTTAGAGCCTGGAACTCAAAGTTGCTGGTGTCTGGTGGGTGGAGGGGATTCAGGAAGGTCACAGCAGGTTAGCATCTGCCCTGGGGAGTCCAGAACACCTGAGCACCCATTTTATCATTTCACGTTCTCTAAAACTCACCAACACCCGGTGACAAAGGAGCAGCACATGACCTTTGACCCAGTGCCCTTGGTTACCTACCTTGCCAAGTACTGCGTACCCCAATCTGCCCTCAAAAAGGTATTTTTAAATGATCATGGCATTATTATTTCTGCTATTATTGTGCAGCACAGTGACGGGCTTTTTGTTACTATTAGTTTTCCAAAGGGTAATGACCGTGGCCTTGGCCGTGGGGGGGGGGGAGGCACAGGCGCCTGCTCTCTCAGGTCAGTAGCTGGAGAAGACCTCGCTGCTTTGGCACCCCAAACGGAGGCCAGAAGAAGGGTGCTGACATGAACGGGGCACAGAGCCAGAGTTTCTGGGGCTCCGTCTAATTATACCTGGCAGCTGGCGGCCCCGCCCCCGCCCCTGCCCCCAGGAGCCCCTCTGCCTCCCGAGCAAGTTGGGTTGTGTCGTGAAACGTCCTCCTGCCCTCTCCACTCGTCCGTCCATCGTGCTTGGGCAGCAGCGGGAGGTCTCAGCCCGGCCGGGGGAGGGAGACGGGGCTCCAGGGGACGTTGTGGCTGTGGGTGGACAGAAGCTGCTGAGCTCTGCATTGGAAATAGAGTGACCAGGAATGCTCAGCTGTCCCAGGGTCAGACTGACCTCGTCCCAGGCCAGGTCACACATGGGCCACTCACTCACGCCAGCAGAAATCTGACACCAGGCACCGCCTGGGGAGGGCAGCGTGGGGGAGTGTCACAGCTCCGGCCCTGCTCAGTTAATGAGCTGGTGTCTTCCCTGGGTCCCTGCCGACGCACTGTCCACCCTCTACACCCTGTGTCCCCTGCCATGGGGCACCGACTTCTGTCACTGCATGGTCAAGCCCCATGGCCCCTTGGCACCCTGTTGGGGTCAGAGGGAGGGGAACGCAGGGTCGGGCCTCACCCCCAGCTCCCTGCCTGCAGGTGGCGCTCTGCTCCTCCAGGAACTGCTCCCGCCCGTGCCCCCTCCCCTGAGGGGGAAGTTTTCCAATTTCCTTGGTGTGAGAACTGGGACTCGGGGTTCCATTGATCCGGTGGGTGCCGTGGCACCGGGCCAGGACACCTCACTTGGCAGACTTTCCTTCCTTCGGTCTCCGTAACGACCCTGGGAAGCAGTTTCTTCTTGAGCCCATTTTACAGATGAGAATGCTGAGGCCGAGCAGGGTGAGGCCATCTTCCCAAGGCCACCTAGGGAGTCAGGGGAGCAGGACCCGTTTTCACACTCAAAGCCTGAGTCCTTGGCCACGAGTGCCTTCTGCCCACTTCAGGACGCTCTCCCTGGAGGCCCGCTGGCCCTACTGAGCACCCCCATGGTGCTCAGCCCGAGAGAAGCAGCCTGCTGACCACATTAGCTGCCTGGACGCAGGGCCCAGCGAGACTTCTGCTCCTCCCCTGGCCGTTCCTCCTCCCCCCTCGGCCAGTGCTGTCCAGCCACCTCCAGCGCCAGCTGCCATCGCAGGGCAGATCCACATGTCACCCCAGATGGGGGCTCTCCTCCCCTTCACTGGGGCTGGGTGGTCCCAGGAGGGCCTCTGCCCGTTCCCGAGGTGGCCAGGTCGCAGTGTCCCCAGCACGGAGATGAGGCTGGCAGCTTTGGGGACCCTGCCTTCTTTGATTTTCTACCAACCTTCAAGATGTTGGCCCCAGGAATGAGCCTTGCAGACCTCCAGGGACACGGAGGTCACTTTCCAGGGGCTCAGCTGCCACTGGGACATGCACTGCTTGTTGGGGCTGGCTCTGCAGAAGGGTCCCACCCATGACCCAGGGAGAAGGGGCAGAAGGCAGGCCCGTCCCTGGGCCACCAGGGCTCCTCCGATGATGACTCTGGGCGTCCATGAGGGTCTTCAGGTCCTTCCTTGGGCAGCTCAGCAGTCTAGGATGCTCTGCCTCCCACTGCTCCTCCCTTGGGGCCAAGGTCAAGAGCCTCTGTCTCTCCCGGCTCCCCTCCCCTTTTCTTCTCCCGCGGCATTTCCCACCTGGCCTCTCGTCCCTGAGACCTGGACTCACACAAGCACCAGCACCGTGTCCCACGACTGTTGGGGTGTTCAGAAATTGGTTCACAGCAGCTGGGTTGGAAGCCACAAAACCCTGGGGCGTCATGTGGACCTTTCCGAGTTCCTACCTGTCATTTCTTCCTCCCCTCCAGATTGCTGCAGGGGAGGGCCACCTTGGAGGGGCATGTCAAAGCCGCCCCAGGCCACCCAGAGGAAGCTTGGTCACGGGACCTGTGCGCTGGTGATGTCCCCTGGCCGACTCCACCTCCCTGATCTCAGTTCCTCAGCTGAGAGCTGAGGTATGGACCCCTCCCTGCTCTCGGGGTGGCTAAGAGCAGGGGTGCGTGGGCTTTGCACTTTGGCTGGCCATCAGGCAGCTCTCGGGACAAGGGGACAACTAGGGGTGTGGTCGACTCACATCCCTGTTAACGGGCTCTTCTGTTTCTAACGAGCCGGGCCCAAAAGCCAAAACTTCCCAGGATGCTTCCACCCCCCAGCCGTGTCGGAGGGTCGAGAAGCCCGAGGTGCAGCTGAGCCTGAGCCTCAGTCTGTTCATCTGTAAAGTGGGGGGGTTTCTCTATCGCACACACCACCCAGGGTTGTTGGGGGTCCAAGGGGTCAGTAAGGAGCAGCGGCTTCTGTGCTGTCATTGCTGCTGTGATCCGTCATTTCTCTCAGAATGTCACGAAGCTCTGATTCCTGGACAGCGCCGACCCTAGGGACTGAGAATTCGGGAGCGATCATCCGTCTCGGCTGAGCGAGGGCAGGCGGACCCCCACTTGTCTGAGTGTCTGTGAGTCCCCCGTCTCCTTTCCTTTGGAGAATACAGAGTACTGAATACCGAACCACCCCCTCATGGATCTGGCTGACCGAGGCCAGCAGACCTTGAGTGGTTCGAGGTGAGTGTCCCTCATGTCACGACTGGGGCTCCTCCTCCCACGATCTTGGGGTGGTTTTGTCCTTGTTTTGAACCCCGGTAGCTGTCGGCACTCCCGGCTCTGTTTCCTGATCTGCATCGACGGGAAAGAGCACAAGGCTCTGGTCTCTGTTGGCCTCTGAGATCTCCAAGCTCCTGTGAGGACTGATGCGTGGGCACGGCCAGGTTCAGAGACTGCCCAGGCCAAGAGCACTCCAGGGCCACCTGAGGCCCAGGACTGAGGACCTGAGTGACAGGGATCAGCTGCTGGAAGCTGGTCTGTGCCGGACCTGGGGCGGGCTGTTCCCTGGGGACCCTTTCACAGGGTTCTGGGTGCCAGCCTCTGAGGCGGGTCACATGGCCCCAGCCCACTCTCTGCCCAGGTGAGAAGACTGGGCTTCGGGAGGCACAGGTGTCGGCCCAGTCCACCCGGCTTCGGCGGCTGGCCTGGGACCTCAGGTGGGTACGGTGCCACCCCTGATCCTGGTGATCAACGTGCCGAGTGCGTCTCACCCCAGATTCACTCAGCAAAGACTCGTTTTTGTCATTGTCCAAGTTCACCCAGCTGGGATGTGACCGGGCTTAGACCTCCCAAAGCCTGTGCCCTTCAGCACCCTCTGACCACACCCAGCTTCCGGCACATTCCCCTGCTGCCTCCTGGCACCCTGCGTGTTAAAGCTGGGGTCTTCAGGGAGCCCCGGGAGCTCAAGTGTGGAAAGGTGGGTGTCCCTCCCGCCCCCCACTCCCCAGCCTGCCACCAGGAGGTGGTGGAGAATGCAGGAGGCGGGGGCTCATTGGAGGAGGAAGGATATGTCTGAGGGGGTGCTGGGACCCTGCCCGGCCTCTCTCTCTCTCTCTCTCTCTGCTTCTGTACCCCATGTGCTGAGCTGTGTCCTTCCGCCCCGATGCCCTGCCTCACCATGAGCCCAGAAATGAGGACCCAGTGACCACGGCTGGCAGCCCGTGAGTCCGACAGACCTGTCCTTCTTGAAGTCGCTCGCTTGGGTTCGTCCTGGTGATGCAAAGCTGTCACTCGGTATCTCTGTGCCATCGCACTAGACAGAGCCGGGACATTGTATCGGACTTTCTGATGTGAAGATCTATCTGCCTTACTATGCTGTGTGCTTTTAAGGGGAGGGAGCACCTCTCTGTTTTGTTCAGGAAACACCCGCGGGCTGAACAAGTTGTGCCGAGTTTTCTCTTCCTGAATCACTGTGGGTTCTAGGAGTTGGGAAAAGTGGCCTTTCCCATCAGGAATCCCCTGAGACTAATCAATGTCAGTCAGACCAGCTTGGAATCGACCGCCCACCCATGTGAATCCTTTTGGAACCTCTCAACAGATGTCGCCTTCACCGAGTTGATTTTCACAAGGTCTTAAAATGGGATCCAGGCATCAGGTCAAAATATCAGATGGGTCAGGTCCCTTCACGGAATTAGGCGTCTCATGTGGTCACTCTTCTTGCTTCATTTGACTTTCTTCTTCTGTTTCCTTGATTACTTCTTTGGACCAAAGTTCTGCTCGTGTTTGGATGAGGCATGGGGCAGACTTAGTTCCCTATTTTCTACCCATTGCCCCTTTCTTCTTGAGAGGAGGGTCATGTTTTGTTCAGAGCAGCAGTAAGTCCAGACCCAGCTTGCAGATCCTGAAAGGTCTCAGTGCTGTTCTCCAGTTTTCCTTATGGCTGAGACAGTATGTGAACCAGGCCTGTCTAAAAGGTCTGTTCCCAGACATTCTGGGGGAACATTTATTCTTCTGGATAAAGATGTAACTGCAACACTCTCCCCTTGTTTCCTATCTTGAATTTGGATGTGATGGCTGGAGCTGCAGCTGCTGTTTTGTCAAAACCTCTGTCAAGATGTAGTTGATGTGTCGAATCAGAACCTTCACCTGCCTTCTGCAGGGTGATTTGTGTTATGTGAGAAAAGGGAATCCCTGTCAAATTAAGGCACTGCAGAGACCTTTCCTATACTTCAAGCTGAATGTGTTCCTAATGGATAAAAGGACATTTCCAAACCTCTTTCTCATATGCAATCTACAGTTCTGATCATTATTGGTATTTTACTGACCCAACCCTTAAAGACGTGAGGACCTTTTATTCTGTGCCAGGGGCAATATTGCTGTGCCCGTTTGAAAGATGGTAATGCAGAGGAGTGAAGAACAGAGATTCGACATTCAAACTTTCAGAGCAAACCCAAGAGCCCCGAGGCGCACACTGTGGCTTCCATTCCGAGACCACGCGCTGTCCCCGGTTGGCAGAGCGCACCGTCACATCCCGTAGGAGGATGAAAGCCTGTCTCGATGCTGCCAGAACCTCAGATGGTGGTTCCAGAGAGTCTGAGGGCTGAAACCCAGCACTTAAGACTTCCAGGCTGTTCTTCTGGCTTGGAAACTTATGCCGCAGCTTCGAGATTCTGGAATCCGTCGTCGCACAGAGACGTCCAGCTGTCTGCAGGAGCTGCTGTGTCTCCAGGAGGTGGCCACGCTCCGAGCCCCTCATGGGTCCTGAGTCCTGCTGGGGCAGGGACATCTGACCGGTGGAGAGCATCCTGAAGGGCAAGGTGGAGGAGGAAGGCCGACCAGGAGACGTCCAGACACTTGATTCCCCAAGGAAACCACCAGGTCACCCGTTCCAAACGCCGGGCACAGCAGAGCTTTTTCTGACAAAGTGGCTGCAGCGTCTGTCCCTCCTCCCAAGTCCAGCCTCTGACGCAGGCACAGCATCGTTTCACTTAGTCAAAGCCATTTTAACTCAATTTGGTTGGCTAAAAATATCTTGGTCCAAAACCTAATCCCAACATCAGAAGACACTTTATTTTCAGATTTGTGATTTCCTTTTTTTTTTTTTCCTTCAAAGACTTTACTTGTGTCATAGTTCAATGAAGATGGGTCATTCCCTTTCTATTTTTTTTTTACTATTTCTATAAGTTCCCTGTCCCTTAGAGTCGATTAAAAAATTCTAAAAAAAGGTAATACTTCTATAGTCTTGGCCATATGCTAGGCACACGTATTAACTCACTTAAGTCTCACAACACGTTTGGGGTAAGTACTATTATTTAGCCCCATTTTACAGAGCAGGAAACTGAGCACAGAGAGGGTAACCAACATACCTGAGGGCATTCAGCAAGCCAGTGGCAAGGCAAGCAGTCTGACGGCAGCTGATGAGAATCATATAGTATTGATAGCCAGCATTTCTGAGTACTTAGCTCACATCAGACTGTCCAGGGAGGCTTCTGCATGCAGCACCTTCTTTAATCACCCCCATAACCTGTGGGGTGCTAATGATCATCGTCACCATTTCACAGATGAGGGACTTGAGGCTCGGCCACCTCCTTGAGCGGGTCCCTGATTTAATAAAACGCAGACACTTTCCAGCGGGAACGCCCTCTGCCCTGTGCCCTCCACACGCCCTGCTTTGCTAGGCACCACTGCCCGCTGCCCTCCCTGCAGACCCCTCCAGGGTCTGAATCAGATGCTCCCAGCTTGGTTCCTTCATCACCCCAAACTACAACAGCCACCTTCCTTATCCGTCTCCCCCACCAGCTCAGGAGCTCACTAGACGGCATATATTTTTAGTGACACAAGTGTTAGAAACACCAAGAATCATAAAACAAGAAAAAAATAAAAATAAAAAAACCCACCCTGCATCCCTGGAGACATCTGGGTGTCCCTGGTTTATATTTTCAGACACAGATGTGTCACAGAGAGATAAAACACAGACGGACGGACCTCAGGGTCTAAGCGTGCGATTCCGTGGTGTTCAGTTCCCAGAACGGAGCCCACGCCGTCTCCAGAACTTCTCCATCACAGCCCACGGGGATCTGGGTCCACTCCCTAAAGAAGGGTCAAAGGAGACCAGCGGCAGGAAAATGAGTGGGGCTGGAGGGCGCTGTGTTAAGGGACACGCGACCGACTCAGAAGGCCTGGGCCGCGTTTTCTCTCATTAGTAGAAGCAAAGGGAGGGAAAGGGAAGGGAGAGGTGGGGATGGATCCCCTGAACATCAAAGGGAGATCCTTAGAGGAAAGGGGCAGGGCAGGGAGGGGAGGAGAGTATATTGCTGGACCCTGCGCACGTGCGACTATGTAAGGATGGTCCCCACCGCCCCGGGCAACTCCGATGCACCGATAAAAATAAGGGAAAAAAGGAAGAAAGGAAGGAAGGAAGGAAGGAAGGAAGGAAGGAAGGAAGGAAGGAAGGAAGGAAGGAAGGAAGGAAGGAAGGAACTCTGTGTGCATTGACCTGCACCCCAGCCCTCGGTCACCACTGCTGTATTTTCGGACCCTGGACTGGTCCATTCTAGGTACTTCCTATAAATGGAGCCATAAAATATCCGTCCCTCTGTGTCTGTCGTCTTTTGTTAACCACGAGGTTGTCAAGGGTCACCTGTGTCTGGGATTCTGTTCCCGACCGAGGCGGAAGGATGCAGGGTTTGGGGACCTCACTCTGTCAACCTGCTGGTCAGCCTTGGGCGCCGGGGTTGCCTTGCCCTTTGGCTGTTGGGAACAGGCCGGGAGGACGTCTGTGCTGGGGTTGCTGCTTTCGGTCCCTTTGGGTAAGTTCCCAGGGGTGGATCCACACCTGGGTGGGGTGACATCGATGGATTCTCGAGGTGACATTGGGCTTGGCTTTTTGAAGTCCCTCCCTGGCTTCCAGCTGGGGCTGTGCCCTCTGGGGTTCTCACCAGCCACGCAGAGGGTCCCAGTTTCTCCACATCCTCACCGATGCTGGTCATTTATCCTGGGAGCTCCGGGGATTCTCCAGGGGTCTCCACGTGCGGTTCCCTGTGGCCGGTGCTGCTGAGCGTCCTCGAGCTGCTTCTGCTCTTGTGACCGGAGATCCCCGCAAGAAACCAGAGAGATGTCCATCCACGCCCTCTGCACCCTGATTTATAAAGATAATTAAACAAACAAACAAACCCAAAGTGTACTTTACATAGCAACTTCAGCCGTTTTAGCAAACAATTGGATGGTCAAGGAGGACAGTCTGGGAGACCATGTGGATTCACTTCCATGGCTGCTGTAACCATGACCTTGAACTCCACCTTCACGCAGCCCTGTCCCTGTGGGTACAGATCACTTCCACAAGGACGTTCCCCCTGCATTTAGCCCCATCCCTGACAGTCCCACCACTGCTCTCCCAGCCTGAAATTGCTCCTGGGTCCGTGTTTCTTACACCTGTGGAGACCCTATGTCCTAACAAAGTCATAATCATGGATACCAGAGGGAGGACTGGGACACGTCAATTTGGGGGATACACTTGGACCTACTGCCTAGCTCCATAACCAACATACGGAACAGTCCTTACCATGAGCACCCCAATTCCACCATATTTTTTTCTTTCAATGAAAACAAAAATCAAAATGGAGCCTCCCTGTAGAACCCTCCTTGTGCTCGCCGTGAGAGATCATGTGCACCTTTTGCGTGTCCATAAATTTAGATCCAAGTGTCCATCATCATTTAAAATGAGTGCACAGCAGCGATGGTCAGTTTTGTGAAGGACCAGCACCGATTGATTGAGTTCTGCTGGACTCCTCTGGGCCCGGCCCACTGCTCAGCAGGGAGGAGGGGCCTGATACCCGCTTGAGGAGTGAGTGGGCAGAGGCCGGAGCCTCGGAGGCCTGGGGAGGTACTGCCAGGCTGGGCTCTCGGCCTCTCTGGGGCCATGGGCACAGTGTCCAGCTCCTCGTCTTCCAGGCCGGGTTCTCTTGTCACCTTCCCTGAAAACCTGCAGTGACTTTGAAGTCAGCTGCCCGGAGGGTCTGAGATATGTGGTCCCCCCGTTGGGGGCTCTCCCTAGTGGGGCGGAGGGACTAGGCCAACCCTCTCCAGGTTTTATAAGCTGATAGAACAGGGCTGTCAAATGCTTTTTATGGGAGAAGAAACAGGAAGATGGTTTGTTTTGCAGACAGCGGGTTATTGGGTAATCACATTTTTATAGAGCTGTTGTGGGACAGATCACGGTCCTGCTGTCCCCTTTGATGCTAAAAGGCAGACGGCCCCATAAAGATCAGAACAAGGGAAGGTGAAAGGGGTCAGGGGCAGAGCTGCCCCATGGGGTCAGCTTCTGCCTGGAAGTCCCCCCCCCACCACCAGGTGGCCCTTGCGGGAAGTGCCCTCCTCTTGCCATGTGTGTGGCGAGGGTCACGTTCATGCCCACCTCTCCCACCTCTTTTTTTGACTACAGGCAGAGAGAAGGAGACAGCGGAAAGATATTCACACAACAGGCCAACCGAGGGCGCCAACAGAATTAGTTCCCTCACTCGCTCACCCACCCCTTGAGCCATGCACAGAGATGGGTGGATGCTTGCTGGAGAGTCTGAGCCACATCACCTCTTTTCCCAGAGGGCCCCTGTATTTGTTCATTCAGTGCATATGAGTTGAGGGCCTACTACGCGCCCTGCACTCTGGCTGTAATGTTCAAGACAGCAGAAGCAACGGAGAAGGCCATCCGTAGAGAACTGCACCCATCTCAAATACAAAACAGGGCATAGGGACAATCTGGGGTGGGATGGGCCCCCAGGAGCCCCCATGAGGCACGTCAGCTGATGGGACAGTGGCAGGTGAGCCAGTCCTTGATAGACAGAAGGAGTTGCCCGGGCTGGGGTGGTGGAGCCTCTGATGGGGAGAGAACATTCTAGATCAAGGGCGAAACTCCACCCAGGCCCCTTGGAGAGCATGAAGCTTCTAAGAAGCTGTCCAGGCTACTGTGGCTCATGGGGAAGCCCGGCCTGCACGCTCTGCCTGGGGCCGAGACCAGGAACCCTGGGTTCAGTCCTTGTCTCTGGTTCCAAGATGACCTCCCTCTGCAGAGGCCGAAGGGGCTGCTGGGCCGTCATGTCCTCCCCAGCCAGAAATTCAAACCCAAGTCCTGTGGGGCACCAGTTTGGAGAAGCCTCTCAATCTTCCTCTTTCTTGGGGCTCTGGAAGTTTCTAGAAGGTTCACTGCTGTTCCTTTTCCTGGGAGGTCTGGACCAGAGCCGAGGGCCTGGGCTTTTACTGGTCCCACCTGGAGACCCGTGTTTGGAATCCAGCTCTTGTTTAAAGAGGGCTGTGTCTTCAGGACCCCCCTCCCCACCTCCCTGGTTTCCTGCAGGAGACAGGCACCTTAGGGAAAGGCGATGTATTTGGCCGTTCAGCCCCTTCCTCCTGTGTTGGGTTTCCCGCTGAGACCTCCAGCCAGAGTCTGAGGCCTCTCCCTGGGTGGCTCTGTGCTGCTTGCCTGCTGTGAGCTGGGAACCCTGCGGCAGCTTGCCCCAGGGGTCTTCCCCTCCTCTCGCTCTGTGCCATTCGGGCCCTCCAGAGCATGGCTTGCTGGGACTCAGGGGCCCCAGCCCTGACTGTGCCCAGATCCTCGGGGCTGGACACCGCGCAGCAGAGGCCCCGGGAAAGTTCAGCTGAGCTTCTGAGGGATCCGTGCCCCTCCGCTGTCTTGGTGGCCAACAGAGGCCACAGCCCTCACTGAGGTGGGGGCCAGGACCAAGGACCCAGGAATGGTTCTGCTGACCTACTGTGCTCCTCATTGCCACCACGGCTCACTCTGTGCCTGTTGCCAGCACGCCCCTCTCTCCCGCTCTTGGCACAGCTACACCTAGGAAGGGTGCAACGTGTTGGGTGACCCGGAGGCAGGGCTGAGCTTGGTGTGTCCTGGGGTGGGGGCTGCAGACAGCCACTCCTGGGTGAGGTGGTGGCCCACGGGCAGGTTCGAGCCACAGTGTCAGGGTCTAGCTCTGAATGGATGCTCACGGCAGGGAGGGCCATCACTCCTTCCTGTTGTGGTCAAACGCTGGGAAAGGGTTCTGTGTTGGCTGCATTTCATAGATGCCAAAACACAAGCACAGAGCGCTCAGGGTCCCACAGGGACTGAGGGGCCGAGCTGGGATTCCATCCCGGTGGCTAGCACCCAGGCTCTCTGTGCTTCCCAGAAGCGGGTGAGGAGCCCTATGAACTTCATCTTCCTGAGCCTCAGTTTTTGCAAAATGGGTAGGACAGGCATCATGCTCGCCTTCTTTCACAGAAAACACTGTTGGCAGAACCCAGTGAAATAAGTTGCAAAATGTGTGTATACATCAAATCATTAAAAAAAAAAAAACCCAGCTCTGATTTATTGAACACCCAGGGGGAAGAGAATCCCTGCTCATTGGGTTTTGTTTAATGCCAGTGACTCGGATGCTACTGTTATCTCGAAGAGCCCGGCTCAGAGGCAATGATCCAAAATTTGAAATGAATTCCTACAAAGGATCTCATTGGATTCTTTTTTTTTTTTTTTTTCACTAAGGCTTCCAAAATTCTCTGTTCTCAGATTCCTCATCTCTAACAGACATGATATCTACTTCCTAAAGAGGTTGTGAGGATGCCCCACGGTCACCTGGGTCCCCTCCTAGGAAGCAATCAGTTACCTAGTTCTTACCTGTTCTTCCAGATACTGTATGCAAATAATGACATGCAAATAACTTACCTAGTATCAGGTATTTGCCATGCAAATGCTGTCAGATAATACTTTTGCTCTTTTCACATAAACATGTCACTTGGAGATGATTTCATCCTGATGCATGTCAGACCACTTTGTCCTTTATCGAATCGCTCCCTAGTATTCTATTGTGTGGCTGTTTCAAGATTTTATTTATTTTTTTGTTATTAACCAGCACTGCAGGGAATTCATTGTATGCATGTCTGCTGGCACATAGGTGAGGAGCTCTTTGGGTAGACACCCTGAAGAGGACTTGGTGGGTCAGGTTATACATGTATTTAAATTTTTGATTGACATTGACAAATTGCACATCAAAGAGATGGAGCCAGTTTATATCATCCACCGGTAGGTGCGTGAGAGTGCTTCTTTGTCGACAAGCTCGCCGACGTAGTGGTATTTCGCATGTATGCCTAAGAGACAGAAGAATATTCCTACTCCCAGTTTCTATAATGG